AAATGACTCTTATTGTTGAATTGAGTAAATTTCTTATATGACCAGTTCGGCTCTGTATTGAAATAACAGTTTTCATTTTTTTTTTTCGATTACCGTCACATGATAACATACAAGTACATGATAAATTGTCGATACTTGATAAGTTGCAGTTGCTCAATAAGCTAAACTAGTACTTGTTATTCAAATCTTTATGCAGTGATACTTGTTCTAATGAGTTGTTTATTTTATTTCTTTTGCGCCCTAAATTCATGAAAGAAATGTCAAATAACTTGTTATATAACTGTAAGTAATATAAAAATATTAAAAATTAATTTTAAACAAATTTCTTTACACATTAGTTATTCTTTCACAATGCAGTCATTTTGACGGCTTTTGGGCAATATAGGTATATACTAAATTTCAGTCTTTCTAGTGTTAAAGGGGGTAAGCAAATCCTATATAATAAAAGCCCAGCGACTGAACGAGGGAACGACCAGAATGACTGGTTGACCAGTCGCTATGATGTGCACTGACCACCAACGAGCAGACACTCAATGCAGGAGCTGCCCCCTGGTGGTCAGTGTGCTGCCACAGTGGGAGCGCTGCTCGGCTGACCAGGATGAATGGCTGCTGCTGCTGCTAACCCCAGCCCGATGGACAGGAACCCAGGCTGCGATCATCGCCTCCTTGCCCGAGGTTCCTCCTCCTCATTCCCTGCCACCTCTGGACTCGCAAAGCTGACCCTGGAGGCTAAGAGGCGGGTTTGTGGCCGCCGCCTCTCAGTGCTATTGTCCCTGGGCCGGACCCCGACCAGGTCCCCTGGAGAGGCGAGTGCTCCGGCTCCATGGAAGATGCCGGACCAGGGAGCAGCAGCTCAGAGGGCAGATCCACAGCTGCTTGGCTGACCTGGATGAGTGGTGCTCTCACAGCGGGCTGATCCCCACAGGCCACGCCCCCCACCAGTGCACCAATCCCAGGCACCAGGCCTCTAGTATCAAATAAATTAAGTGGATAGTGTGTGGAAAAAAATAGCAAGTGATGGGGACTGTAATGAATTAGAAAATATATATACTATTCTAAGGGGTTAGCAGCCAGGTCACTCAACTTGGGGCCCAGTCTTGATAGTTCCTCCATTTTATTCCAAGAGGAATCAGAAATCTGGACCTTCATGTGAACCCTCTTGAATTTTAAATATTAGCAGCCACTTAAAATTTTTATAAATACATTGCAAGCCAAACCAAATACATGTGCCAAGGCTGGATTTGGCCTCTAGTCTACCACCGATTTTCAACCTCTGGGTAATGGCTGATTCTTATGGTGATTTTTCCAACCAAAACATGAATCCATGGCTGTGGCTATTCTGACAAGATTAAGTATCTCCTGACATGCAGGATTTTCCACTAAAAAGTTAAATATTTTGTTACCAGATGAGAAGTAAACTTGATATTTTTGTTTATCAACTTTCAAAAAGTTGTGGGTCTAAAATATCTTATTTTAGAATCTTTTCTACTGGATCATATTAAAGAACAAGTTGCTGAACCAATTTCTGGAACTCAATTCTTAACCTATAAAATGGAGACGCCATAGAAAACTTTCACATTAAGGCACTTCTATTAATCATGAGAAGCCAATCCAATTCTGCTTTGGAAAGAACATTCAAGACTGCAACGGGAGGTCCTAGAGGCATTTATGGGTTCAATTTAACTTG